TTTGAGGTTCAGTACTTACTTCTTCCATGTTTTGGTAACACTATTCTGCCCGACACTTACACTTAAATGATGTAATGCTCTTTACACATTGATCAAAATTATAAATTTGATAGGATTCACTCCTCAGTTTGTTTCCAGAAGAAGCCAATGACAATTGCAATTATCCAATCCTGGCCATCTGGACGTGACATGCACGACTTTTGCATGTGCATATGTTACCAATATCCTTAGAAGCTGATTATAATTTATCCTTAACAATAATGCCTTGTTAAATCCATAACTGCAGATAGCACTATACACAATGAGTACCTGGGCCAGAACAGTGATTGAGAATGTATGGTCACTGATAGGTAGGACTGCACCGCCTGATTTTCTTGCTAAATTGACATATCTGATATGGAACCACCATGAAGAGATCCAACACATTGACACAGTCAGGGCATATACTTTTGGTTCTCATTACTTTGTGGAGGTTGACATTGTCTTGCCTGAAGACATGTTCCTGGGTAAAGCACATAACATAGGTGAGAAACTCCAGGAGAAGCTGGAGCAGCTACCAGAAGTCGAGCGAGCCTTTGTGCATATAGATTTTGAGTTCACACATAGGCCTGAACACAAGACCATGGTCTGATTGTATGGGCACTGGCACTGCTGGCATTGATTTCCAGAGCTTATTAGTGTCTTTTCAATAACCTACTTTTATTCACCTGTACTTCCAAATGCTACATAATAGTACTTTTCATGACTATAGATCATTAGCTGTGCATGAAGTCCACTCGTATTTCATTTGATTGCTATGGGATTATGTTATTTTGCGTGTGTAAAACTTCCTTTTTGTCTGCTAAATTTGATAGATAGCAGAAATAGCTGATGGAAAGCTAACTTGAGGAAAGTCATGTTAGCTAACTAATTACTTGCTCATTTGTCATTGCCAAATAGAAAAGGCAAAAGATGTTCAAACTCTCTCTTCAGATTTTAGAGGAAATCTAGACAAAGATAGGTAAGGATTAAACAAAGACAATCAAGTTAGATAATGAGCCAATTTGCTTCAGTTCCTCTGTAACTGCAGGCTGCCAGTGACAAGATGATAGCTGGAACTTTCCAACTCACTCAGTTTCCCAAATTTGTTTTCATATTCGTCCAACAAATCGAGCCTACAAAGAATTCAAAGAGATAAGCTGTAATGATACAAATCGAATAGGAATTAAAATGTAAAAACATATGTAGCCAGGATATGTTGTATATGTAAATAAAAAAGGATGTATAGTCTCCTCACCAGTATGCCATACACTGAAATGGAGCATACTTGCCATAAATCTCTTCAATATCTTTTTCAATTGTCTTTCTAGAGCATTTCCCCTTGGCATGCACCTGCGACAATGAAAACAGTAGTCAGTGTTCTATCAAATGTGCGACAAAGTAGTAGTGCTTCACTAATAAATTAACTCAAAATGTCCAGACCATTTTCAAGTGTCTGATAGTTTCACTATCAAAAGGAATCCTCTCATAAAACCCAATGCACATCATTATATTGGAACAGACAAAGGGACCAAAGCCTTTGATCTTCATCAGCTTTTGATAAAATCTTTCGTAGGATGTTGTATCAGATGATTCTTCAAGTTTGTTGATCTCAAGTTCCCCGTTCTCAACCTTTCTGGCAAGTTGAAGAATGCACCGGGCTCTGTACCCAAGATTGCAGCGTTCATTTAGATACTTCTCATCAAGGCAAGCTAGTTCTGTTGAGGTTGGAAAATCCCCTATGGATTGATCAAATCCGCTCATTGACGACTCTGAAGTTGAGCTAGCTTTACTGTATTTCTTATGCTTTAATCTCTTGGTCGAAATTTTCAAGTTGGAATTGGATGCTACCCTTTTGCGTTGCAAATGAGCACCAGCCAATTGTAGCTGAAGCGCGCAGAGAGCCCGAGCCATGGTCAATGTCCTCTTCCACCTTGTTAGAAATTTGGAATTGTCGTCTATTAGTGACTTTTCCTGACGTATAATGAAAGAGAAAGGACAAAAGGATGCATGGATAAATGTTTAATTGCTTCCCATAAGATGCTGCATCTTCATCTGTATAACTTAACTAAAGATAATTGTACCCGCAGTTGCAGAGAAGGATTGACTTGACAGCGTCTTCAAAGAAGGAAGGGGAGCGGAAAATTCTACCAAAGCCTCTCTCCTTGGCTGAACCATGCAATATTTGGAACTCCGTTACGTCTCTCTCATCCTTGCTTGATATCCTTAGCATTCTTGCAACTTGTTCCTATATCATATTAACAGCAAAACGTTATACTTATAATCTATGGGCATATAAATGTTGGTCAAAAGACATGCATACCATTATAACAGCTTCATCAGCAGAGGAGATAGAGTTCTCAAGGCCATGGACTTGTACAACAAGGAAAGGGTGGTTGGGAGCTGGGTGTGAGATCGCGACATAAACGGAACAAGAAGAGTCTGCGAGTCGAAGAGGGCGACGAAGGGATTTGGTGGAAGGGATCCAAGCGTTTGGAGACATCATGAACAAACCATGATTGCACACTGCTTTCTCCATGTTGAAGCTGGAAGAGCTCTCCCCTAATGCTACCTGCAACTCTATCAGCTCACCCATGTTTACTAACTGATCAATTGGAAAGCACAATATTTTACCACTGTTTTACTCAACTCATCGTGTTCTTGGGAGAATAATTCTAGGTGCTACTGGTTACTGGTTGCTTCCTCTTTTATTAGCCTCGTAATTCACCAAGGAAGTCCATGCATGTTCTTTACGTACCTTCCCCATGCAGCAGCTGTATTTATTAGTCTCAGCCTCATTTACTTTGTTAATAAAAAAAGAAATTAAAAAAATATAAATCAATTAAATAAACCAAACCAAGTGTGAAAATATAACCTTAGATAATGTACGAGGGAGGATTTTCATATATAAAATAGATTGTTTAGAAATTAGTCTTGGTTTCTATTCAAAATCTAGGCTTTACAATTTCATTATTATTAGTATTAATTATGCCTTAATTTACCAATAAAAGTGATGTCTTGCTATTTCCTTCTAACAAATGTAATTGATGTTTCTTCTTTCCTCTCATTTCTTGGCCTTCTACACTCTTCTTCCAAGACTAATTTGTGTTATTTTTAGGCTCGCCAAGGCAACTTAATTTTTTATTTTATTAAAATAAAAAATTTAAAATATGACATGATGATGATGTAATGACAAATATTAAAATTAAAAAATAAATTTAAAAGTAAAAAATTTTAAAAAATAAAATTTTAAATCATAACTAAGAGATACTCTCACTACTCCGGGATATTTATGATGGACGAATATTTTATTGTGATAATATCATGATTTTTGTAAATGATTGATTGGTGTGTGCTTTGTAAAATTTTATGAACATTTGATAATAATATCAAATTTTGTCTTGAATAATTTTTATTATTTTATTTTAATTTATTCCCTTTCTCTTTTTTTTTAAATTGGTTTTTTTGCAAACCCTTAATATTAGAAATTATTTTTCTAAATTATCCAACCTTTGGTAGAATTTAAAAAAATGGCATCACCTAGAAATTTTCAAGAAAATTATTACTCATAACTTCCTATAAATTTTACCGTTGAAAGATTTTCTTACATTTACATAATTAAAATAAAATGCTTACGATGCAATCAAAGAAACCCCAAGACGCAATTTGTAGTTTACAAAATGTTTTAATTATTACATTTATTATTTTATATGTTTTAATAATTATTTAGAAAGAAACCATCGATAAAAAAAATTTGATATTACTCCCAACTCTTTGGCAAGGTATCATAAGTATTTTCACTTTGAAAATTTTAAAAAAAAATTACCACTTGTAACTTTTTTAAAAATTTATTTTCAAAAGATCATTCTAAGTAATTATTATTGTTTAATTTAATTAACAAAATATTTACTTTTCCAAATTAACATTTTTGAAATAATTTCATAGGTTAAAATATGCACATGAAAAAAAATCAATAAAGGAATAAAGAAATGATAAAGATTTATTTTTTCATATTTATAGCATTTTTTAAAATAATTTTCCAAATTTAAATATGGGCATGAAAGAAAGAAAAGTCATAAATAAATAAAAAACTAAAAATGAAAATAGAAACAAATAAAAAATTAAAAATATAAAAAATAAAATTAAATTTCAGAACTATTGAGCTATTGAGCTCGAATCAGAATACGGCGGAAGGTCCACTTACAAAAGGTTACTCTTGTAATTTCATATACCCGTAATGGGCAAATAGGTATTTTAACCTCACTTAAGCGAATTAGGGTTTTTCTATCTCTTCCCCATTTATAGGCCCCCTCCCTCTGAACCTCCTTCCTCAGGCAATCGGCTGTCTCTCTCTCTCTCTACCACCTCTGTTTAAAATTTCCTCCGTTCTCTGTTCTTTAGACCTCCCATTAGATCTTATATTGAATTTCGTCTTACTACGATTCTTAAACGCCTGTGATGCACATGGTTTTGTCCGTACCATCTGAGATTTTGCTCTTCTTTGATGAATCTAAGCCTAGTGTCTGAGGCACCATTTTTATTTATTTTTTTTTGAAATTTTCCTTTCTATTTTTGAGGCGGTGATGACGAAGATTATACCATCAAACTATGAGAGCTCATGTCTCCTTGATGCAATCATAAATCATTACTCTCTGAGCCTTTCTACTTGTCTGTGTTTAATTTTAGAGTTCTTCAATGGAAAAGAAGGCAATAAATTAGAGTCACTGTTGCGCTTAAATGAAAATAGCGGCTTCAGCGCTGTACGTTGCCGATATCCATTTGGGGCTGAGATTCTGGCATTTTTCTTTCATTTTTTTTTCTCTGTAAGTTTGATGCATTCAGATGCCCCTACATTTTTAAATTTATTTATATATTTTTTATTTTTTATTAAAAAAATTAATTTAGAAGGAGATGGAAGTGATGATTATTTCCCCAGATGATCGAAGCTGAACAAACTGTGCGATTGTTTTTCTCTAATTCGTTAGAGATTCCAAGCCAGAACTCTGATCCATCTTCACTACAATTTTACATTTGTTTTTTTATTTTTAATTTTTAATTTTTTTTGAATTTTTTTATATGAATTGATTGGTGTTAATTATTGTGGAGGTGATGATTATTTCCCCAGATGATCGAAGCTGAACAAACTGTGCGATTTTATTCTCATTTTCATGAGAATTCAAGCCAGAAATCTGATCCATACTGCTTTATTTTTTATTTGGATTTCTTTTTCTTTTTTATTATTTGAAAATTTTATACTAGGAAATTCCAAATTAAATGGCATTAAATATTTCACTCTGAATAAGTGAATCGAAATTGTGATGAAAATTATAAGCCTTAAATTCAAAATAAAATTTGGAAAATTAAATATATTCTTATACCAACCTTGTAACTAATTTTTATGCCTACTTTTTTGTATAATTGAGTATAATAATTACAAAATAATTATTATGGTTTTGTATAATGATTTTTTCGTGTTAACATTGTTATATTTGGTATGATAATTAAAAAAACAAATATCTAGAAAGAAAAAGGTATTGTTAGCAAATGTTAATGATGAAAATTTAACAAATTTAAAAATTATAAAATTTAATTTACACAAATTATCAGCAAAGGTTAATTGTGTAATTTAACAGTTGAAAAAAAAATCTATTATATTAAAAATATAAGTTATATTTTTATTCATCATAATTAATTATAAAAATGTATTTGATTCAAAATAAAAATAATAAAATAAAAATCATTTGAAATATAAACTTTATAAAAAAATAATTTTTTAAATAAAAATTTTAAAAAATGTTTCACAAAAAACTTCTAGAGGATTTTTTTCTCTTTTATTAAAAATATAAGAGAATTCTTATTTTTAGTTTTAAAAATATTTTCACCTGTTTAAGTAATTACAGTATTACTTTTTTAAAAAAATATTTTAATTTTAAAAATTATTATTTTTTATAAGAATTTCATAATAATTTTTAAATTAAAAAAAATTAAGTTAAACTTAAAAATAGAATAAAAATTTACTTGAATTTTTTTAAATAATTTAAAAATATATTTGAATATCATACTTGATCAATTCTTTTATTAGTTTATTTTTGTTGTTGTGCTTGCTTGCTTGTCCAAGGAGTTTTCCCAAGACGAGATCAAATTAAAAGTCCAACAGCATAAAACAGAAATGTCCTATTCAAGAATGAACAAGGAAATTACACGCCTAGACTTTGATTCCTTTCATACGTAAACTTCCCCATATTTAATACATAAAAGTCAGCCAATGAGGCATGAAACAGTGAGACTTGGCAATGGTGTCAAATTCATACACAGTCAACTACCATTAATTAAAAAACCCAAGACCAACAGCAAAGCCTTTGCCGCAAACGACATTCTCCATGCTTGCATGATTGATAATATGGTAAGCCATTGTGCTTTTCTCTAAGTGGAGCAGTTGGTGTTTGCAAATTTTCTTATATAACTTGTTCCTCTCCGTCATGAGAAATCGCTTGTTCAAGGAAATTAAAAATGGCGAACAACCTTCGGACAGATTCATCAGACTACCGAACAGAGCTTCTGTCACCTGCTCCGGCTGGCGAGGATGACACAATGGCAACTGAACAATCTTGGCGACTCAACATGGATAAGTTTCACCTCCCAGAGAGACGAGTGGAGTCTTCTTGTTTTAGCCTTGGGGTTTTTATCAAGGCTTTAAGTAAGCAATTCCATCGATCTTGTTCAGGCTGATATTTACTTGGCATAGTGTTGCAGAGTGCTTTGACCATTTGCAATTGTGTGTTCTTCTGCAGGGAGGCAGAGAAAAGTTTCAGAGTATTACAAGAGGCAGGAAAAGCTTCTCAAAGGGTTCAATGAAGTGGACACATTCAATGAATTGGGCATTTTGCCTGGGAGTTTGACTGAGGTTTGTTGGTTTGCAGTTTTATTTGAATTTATACTCTTTTAACTCCCTAGAATGCAAAACATATGTTTATTTCAGGAGGAAATGGAGAAGCTAGAAAGGAGTGAGAGGGTGGCAATATATGCATCCAATGTGGCCAATTTGGTGCTTTTCTTAGCAAAAGTTTATGCCTCTGTGGAGAGTAGATCAATGGCAGTCATAGCATCAACCTTGGACTCTTTACTGGATCTCTTGTCAGGCTTTATCTTGTGGTTTACTGCTCATGCAATGAGAAAACCGAATCTACATCGCTATCCCATTGGCAAAAATAGAATGCAACCTGTTGTAAGTCTTCCTTCCTCAGAAAAAACCTTAAATTGGGATTTATTTAGGGCTATATCAATGCACTAAAGATATCAAAATTATTGTTATGACAACATAGTTTGATTGGTGCTTAAAATTTTCCCCTTGAAGGAACCTCATGTCCTTAATGTAATTGAATGGTTCATTGGTCCAAGTATGGCAATTATATAATTTCAATCAACTTCATGAATCATGCCATGTGAGGTCATATATATATATATATATATATATATATATATGTAGATGCAACCTATTGTAAGTCTTCCTTCCTCGGGAACTACTTAAATAGGAATTTATTTAAGGCTATCAATGCACTAAAGATATGAAAAATATTGTTATGACAACATAGCTTGATTGGTGCTTAAGATTTTCCCCTTGAAGGAACCTCAAGTCCTTAATGTAGTTTAATGGTTCACTGGTCCAAGTATGGCAACTATATAATTTCAATCAACTTCAGGAATCATGCCATGTGAGGTCATATATATATATAGATATATAAAACCTTTTATGGCTTGTGCAGGGAATTGTTGTTTTCGCATCAGTGATGGCTACTCTTGGATTGCAAATATTGTTTGAATCAGGTCGAGAACTGGTTATGAAGGTATCTGAGCATGCATGCATCAATTAACTACTACGAATAGAAAGGGCTTTGGACTAATAAGAAAACAAGTGTTAAACTTTGACCTTCTAACAATGGCCAGTGATTATGAATTGCAGGCACAACCAGAAAGGGATCATGAAAAAGAAATATGGATGATTGGGATTATGGTATCGGTGACATTGGTAAAAGTGGTGCTCACGGTGTATTGTCGCACGTTCGATAATGAAATCGTTAAGGCATATGCTCAAGATCATTTCTTCGATGTCATTACTAACTCAATTGGTCTAGGAACAGCTGTGTTAGCTATCAAATTCTACTGGTGGATTGATCCTCTTGGGGCAATTCTTGTAAGTTCATGATATACATACACTTTAATATGTTAAATTTTTTCTGATAAAACTCATATGTACATTGCATGATGGAACTGGATAAGATACTTTAAACATCAAGGACATGGTCACGAGGATGTGACCTAACAAATTTAAAGCACATGAGTTGAACAATGACAAGACTACATATGCTAATTAAACTATATATGGTGCAGATAGCATTATACACAATGGGGAATTGGGCGAAGACAGTGATGGATAACGTTTGGGGACTAATTGGGAAGACAGCACCGTCAGACTATCTAGCGAAGTTGACGTACTTAATATGGAACCACCATGAAGAGATTACACACATAGAGACTGTTAGAGCATACACATTTGGTAGTCACTATTTTGTGGAGGTTCACATAGTTTTGCCTGAGGACATGCCCCTTGGCCAAGCACATGATATTGGACAAACTCTTGAAGATAAGCTCGAGCAACTTCCTCAAGTAGAGCGAGCTTTTGTTCATGTGGATTGTGATACCATTCATCCTCAAGAGCACAAGACAAAAAGGCCATGAGCATTAGGATTAAAGTTCACTTCCAAGGACATGAAGCTATTTCTTTTTCCACACTTTATAGTAGCTATTACAATTTTCATGCATCAAGGGCTTGTTAGAAACAGTCTATTGTTTGTTGTATTTATCTAATTAATTAATGAACAACAGTTTGAGTGGAGCTATCAAAAAATGAGTGTAATATTATTGTATGCAATATATGGTCACTTGTTTCATGAACAAAATAGTCAAAAGGATCTTGAATGCCTGGAATGTGGAAAACTAGATGAATAGAATGACAAATAGTAATGCTTAGGGAAATGAGTCCGTATTTCTATATTATTGCTTAAAATAAAAAACAAATGAATTAAGTACGATTTACACGAAACTAATTGAATTATATATTATCGAAGAATACAGTGAAAATTTCACTTTCCAAATGTTTTTGAGTAGTTAAAGAATACAAATTTGTACACTCACCTAAATGACATGTCAATGGGAGTTCAATAATCCAACCACTCTATGTTCCCTAATGGGATTTACGTTTGACTTAGATTCATTAAAAAGGATAGATTCCAGTTTATGAAACAAGTTTAGGTTACATATGAGGAAAGTATTTGTCAATGGTGTTAATATGCCTTATAAGCGAATCAAATTGGTTGTAGTCAAGCACCATAAAAGCCTTAGCTTCCATACCAGTTTAGACAAATAAACTCAAGGCATGAACCATTTTTACCATCTGTTACTTGGTTTTTACCGATGAAGTGCCTGCCATACCAATTGATTGTGAAAAAAGTTTTTTTCCTCATCGCCATTTGTATTTAGCCCAAGGTTTTCACCTAATCTTCATACTTCTTTAGGTTCCTCCATAATTCACTTCTTCTTTTTTCTTATATCCCATCATATAGGGATTTGTTTAGCACTGACATATCCTCTTCAATCTCCACACAGGTAGCCTTCTACTTCTTGTTTTTTTTTCCATTTTTTTCTTTTTTTGTTTCTTTTTTACACTGATCCGTTCTTCCACTTCACTTAGTAAACCCAGTTTTTTATTTTTAAGCTTACTAGAAAATGGCAAGTTTGATGACAGAATCACATGGTGATGTGTTCTCAATTGAGCTACTAAAGAAGAAATCTACCTAAGCTTTTAAAAGTGTAGGTCTTTGCTGATGGATTTTTTGCCAGCTCACTGCCTTAAGGCCCATCACGAACTAGTCTAATTAGTGGGTTTTTTAATATATTTGGCCCATCACGAGTAACAACTTCTTTATTGGCAACCTGACCCATCATCACATCACATGTCTTCACCTTAAATGCACTACAACCTATAACATCCAATTCCTCCATAATGCATCCCCTTTGCAACGTTGCTTCATGCTCTTTTCTTGTTTCCCTCTTACTTGTCAAACTCTTGAATTTCTCATAAATCTCATAACCCTTTTTACTGACCACTACAACTTTGTTGAAGTCAAATCTTTTTTCCCCATAGTCAACATTTTCTTTTTAATTTGGTCCTATATTGCTTGCTTCTTTTGCTGCTACCACTCTGTTTGTTGTTGTTAGCTCTCTAATCGCTAAAATATCTTGGTTTTCACTACTCCCATCCTCAAGGCCAGCCTGATCAGGGTTGTTCAATATATTACTCGAGCTATGTTTAACCTTCTTGTACTCACTTACATTTTCTTTCTCTTATCTAATTGTGGAAACGAACTTGTTCTTCCCCTAATAGTGGCTTTTTGGATGTGAACCATGAAAACTTTCTTAGCCACTTTTAACTCCAAGCTAGCCTCAATTCGCTTCCTAGCCATCGTGGATATAAGAAAAACCCCATAACTCAAGTTATCACCATTAAGGGTATTTTTCTCTACAGCCGCCAGCCACCCCAACATTCTGCAATGTTTTCAAAGTTCGCAAATGTCTAAGTGTATGAAGTTACACCCTAAATGAAAAGCTTCTTCTACTGTAAGCTCATTTCAAATTGGCCCGTTCATCATTCAACCACCACAAACCATCAATTAAGCCACTGTCATTTTTCCTTTTCCAACTTGTCCAATTTTTCCTTTTCAATAAAAGTGACTAGAAAATGCTTGGGAGATAAGCCTTTCATTATCACCCCTAAATGGTCCTCAATTCTTAACTTAACCATAAACACCGAGGCATCAGATTCTACCTCAGTTCTGCCAAGTGCTGATCTCTCAAGCCAATGAAGATTCTTCTCACTCATTACACTTGGACATCTCATAGCTACTAAGCTGCATCTTCCATTAGTAGAGAAAGACTCCACTTTGTCACCTTTCATGCCACATCATACTTGAGCACATGACCAATTTAATTTCTCAGTTCTTGCATTGTCATCTGATTTTTGGTTATAAGGATTTTTGGTTCCATTTATTTATCATGGTTGCTTTTCCTTTTCCTTCAAAATATTCCTTTTCATCGTGACTTGCTAGGTTAACATTAAGCTTATTGTTTAGGAACTAGACATAGTTTAGCATGGAACATGCCCTTTTTCACTTTATTTAGGGTCCCATACCTAACAAACCTATGCTTTCTTTTGGTTAAATTCTTCTTTCTTGACACAAACATGTCGACAACTTTTCCTCCTTGATTAAATAATCTCCAAGGCCATCTCCATTAAACTTCCTCTAAAATGTTATTAACAAACATAGAAAATGTTTTCTTGCCTTTTGGGAAACTATTTTTAAAACCTCCATGGAACCCAACCTAAAAATATCTTCATGCAATCATTAAGCCTCTTTTACATATGTAATAACCTTTATCTTTTACATCTAGCAAAACCCTATTTGATTAATCCTACACATAAGCACCTCTCATTCTCTTGATAAGACTAATTATCCATGGGATCATAAAAATTATACTATATTTTTCGTTAAAAAGAATCTTGCTTGTGATTTTTTCTCAACGTTAGGAGTCTTTTGTTTATAGGAACTTAGATACTCTAAATAGCAAGAATGCTGCAAAATAGCAAGAAGAAGAGGACGTTGGGTAAGGGTGAGTGTAGGATAAAAAATGAAGTGAAATAAATGATAAGGAGTTTTAGTTTGAGAATAAGCCGAATGTAGTAGATGGATTTGATGTAATTGTAAACCCAAGTGAAGAAAGGTTGATTAGAGATGATGGCACATGACACTCTCCTCTATTTAAACTAGTAACGCCTTCGTTGTTAGGGAATGTTGTAACTTTTCGCACACTCTCTTATCTCTCTTACCTTTGCGCCATTCATTCTTCCTTTTTTATGTTGATAAAGAACCCTCTGTCTCATGGCACCCTTTAATAGCTCCTAACCTCAACTCCCTCATAGGTTCCCCATTCCCCTTAATGGCACCTAGTCACTTAGGCTCTTGCTGTTGTGGCGTTACTTTCACAATCAATCGTTGAAAACCTTTTCTTGATTGGGCAGCCTTTCACTTGATGAGCATCCTCACATAAGTAACACATGAAAACTCCTTTCTCTCAACCCTTGTTTACAATATTAAACTTGTAGTGGGCAAGCTTCCTCTTGGCCTCCTTATCAAACAAGGAGCCTTCGTCACTTTCTTCCCCATTACCTTGCCAACATTTGGGGGAGTCACACGTTCAAACTCGACTAATGATTCTGATATAGCTATGGCTCTACTCATATCTTACATGCCTCAATGTTGCAACTCAGCCTTTACCCATAGTTTCAACCTATCAATGAAGTAAAACAGCATCTTTCACTCACTCATGTTTGATACCATGAGCAACAACTCAAAGAACTCTCGACAGTAGTCCTTCACCTTGCCCTTCTGCATGAGCTTGCAGATCTTGCCTCAGGCTTCATCCTTTACATACTTGGGCAAACAGTTGTCTCAAGTCCCACGTGAACTCTTCTCATGTGGTCACAGCATGCTCAACGTGCTTCATCCTCATCGTCCCTATGATGCCACCATATGAGAGCGACATTTGTAAAAAAAAGAAAAAAGAAATGAAAGTGCTCACCTTGGTCCCTTTCTCTTTCTTAGTGACTCTACTCTATGCTCCACACGAAGTTGTCAAGTTACTTGGAAGAACAGCTCCCCACCAAAAAAAAATTATTATTTTTTATTTTGATTTTTTTTGGAAATTTTTTTGAGTGGATCTTTTAAATGTACTTGTAAAAAAATAGTGTTAATAATTTAATAATGGAATAAATAAACGTAATTAAAAGAAAATTAAAGAAAGTAAGTTAGAGTGCTTAGGTTGCCTCTCAAGAGGTATTTGATTTATAGCCTTTGGCTTAACTTTCTCTAATTCAAATTACATTGATAAACGTGATTAAGGATCTTTGAAGATTGAAATCGCCACCCCAATAGTGCTTTAACCGTTACCCATTCACTTTGAAGGTTGATTTATCATCAACTACCTCCACTGCTCCATGAGGATATATTTTCATCATAGTGAAAGGTCCAGACTAACGAGATTTTAGATTTCCTAGAAATAATCTCAAATGACAATTGTGAAAGAGAACATGTTGACCAAGCTTAAAATTTCTCCTTATGATATTTTGATCATGCCATCGTTTTGTCTTCTCTTTGTAGATTCTTACATTCACATATGCTTCTTGACAAAATTCAATCATCTCACTGAGTTGCAAAAGACGCTTTTCTCTGATTGCTTGAAGATCAAAATTAAGTTTTTTAATTCCCCAATATGCCTTGTGTTCAAGCTCAACTAAAAGATGACAGGCTTTTCCAAACACCAATCTATAAGGAGACGTCCCAATTGGAGTTTTGTATGCAGGTCTATAAGCCCATAAAGCATCATCCAACTTTTTTGACCAATCTTTTCTAGAAAGACAAACAATATTTTCCAAAATTATTTTAATTTCTCTATTTGACACTTTTGCTTGGCCATTTGTTTAAAGATGATAAATAGTGGCTATTTAGTGCTTGACTCCATATTTGGCAAAGATTGCCTCAAAATTTTTGTTGTAGAAGCGAGTCCCTTCATCACTAATTATGGCTTTAGGTACACCAATATGTGTGAAGATATTCCTTTGCAAGAAATTTATCATTACCTTAAAGTCATTCCTTAGCAGTGCTACAACTTCAACCCATTTAAAGACATAATCAACAACAATCAAAATGTATTCATTATTGAAGGATGGAATGAATGGACCCATAAAATCAATTCCCCACACATAAAAAATTTTGACTTCAAGGATGTTGAA